CAAATAAGCAAAGAGAAACCAAAGTCCATCATTACTTTAAAACATGAAGAACATTGAATGTTTCTTCAAGTGCAGTCTCAAAAACCATCAAGCGCTATGATGAAACTGGCTCTCATGAGGACCGCCACAGTAATGGAAGACCCAGAGTTACCTCTGCTGCAGAGGATAAGTTCATTAGAGTTACCAGCCTCAGATTGCAGCCCAAGTAAATGCTTCAGAGTTCAAGTAACAGACACATCTCAACATCAACTGTTCAGAGGGGACTGTGTGAATCAGGCCTTCATGATCGAATTGCTGCAAAGAAACCACTACTAAAGGACACCGATAAGAAGAAGAGACCTGCTTGGGCCAAGAAACACGAGCAATGGACATTAGACCGGTGGAAATGTGTTCTTTGGTCTGGAGTCCAAATTTGAGATTTTTGGTTCCAACCGCCGTGTCTTTTGTACGGATGATCTCCACATGTGTAGTTCCCACTGTAAAGCATGGAGGAGGAGGTGTTATGCTGTGGGGGTGCTTTGCTGGTGACACTGTCTGTGATTTATTTAGAATTCAAGGCACACTTAACCAGCATTGCTACCACAGCATTCTGCAGCGATACGCCATCCCATCGGGTTTGGGCTTAGTGGCACTATAATTTGTTTTTCAACCGGACAATGACCCAACACACCTCCAGGCTGTGTAAAGGCTATTTTACCAAGAGATGGTTTGGGATGAGTCGGACCGCAGGGTGAAGGAAAAGCAGCCAAGAAGTGCTCACCATATGTGGGAACTCCAAGACTGTTGGAAAAGCATTCCAGGTGAAGCTGGTTGAGAGAATGCCAAGCGTGTGCAAAGCTGTCATCAAGGCAAAGGGTGGCTATTTGAAGAATCTAAAATTATATTTTCAAATCAAATCAAATCAAATCAAATGTTATTGGTCACATGCGCCGAATACAACAGGTGCAGACATTACAGTGAAATGCTTACTTACAGCCCTTAACCAACAGTGCATTTATTTTAAACAAAAAAAGTAAGAATAAAACAACAACAAAAAAAGTGTTGAGAAAAAAAGAGCAGAAGTAAAAATAAAGTGACAGTAGGGAGGCTATATATACAATAGAATAAAGTGACAGTAGGGAGGCTATATATACAGGGGGGTACCGTTGCATAGTCAATGTGCGGGGGCACCGGCTAGTTGAGGTAGTTGAGGTAATATGTACATGTGGGTAGAGTTAAAGTGACTATGCATAAATACTTAACAGAGTAGCAGCAGCGTAAAAAGTATGGGGTGGGGGGGCAGTGCAAATAGTCCGGGTAGCCATGATTAGCTGTTCAGGAGTCTTATGGCTTGGGGGTAGAAGCTGTTGAGAAGTCTTTTGGACCTAGACTTGGCACTCCGGTACCGCTTGCCGTGCGGTAGCAGAGAGAACAGTCTATGACTAGGGTGACTGGAGTCTTTGACAATTTTGAGGGCCTTCCTCTGACACCGCCTGGTATAGAGGTCCTGGATGGCAGGGAGCTTTGCCCCTGTGATGTACTGGGCCGTACGCACTACCCTCTGTAGTGCCTTGCGGTCAGAGGCCAAGCAGTTGCCATACCAGGCGGTGATGCAACCAGTCAGGATGCTCTCGATGGTGCAGCTGTAGAATTTTTTGAGGATCTGAGGACCCATGCCAAATCTTTTTAGTCTCCTGAGGGGGAATAGGCTTTGTCGTGCCCTCTTCACGACTGTCTTGGTGTGTTTGGACCATGATAGTTCGTTGGTGATGTGGACACCAAGGAACTTGAAGCTCTCAACCTGTTCCACTACAGCCCCGTCGATGAGAATGGGGGCGTGCTCAGTCCTCTTTTTTTTTCCTGTAGTCCACAATCATCTCCTTTGTCTTGGTCACGTTGAGGGAGATGTTGTTGTCCTGGCACCACACGGCCAGATCTCTGACCTCCTCCCTATAGGCTGTCTCATCGTTGTCGGTGATCAGGCCTACCACTGTTGTGTCGTCGGCAAACTTAATGATGGTGTTGGAGTCGTGCCTGGCCATGCAGTCATGGGTGAACAGAGAGTACAGGAGGGGACTGAGCACGCACCCCTGAGGGGCCCCCGTGTTGAGGATCAGTGTGGCAGATGTGTTGTTACCTACCCTTACCACCTGGGGGCGGCCCGTCAGGAAGTCCAGGATCCAGTTGCAGAGGGAGGTGTTTAGTCCCAGGATCCTTAGCTTAGTGATGAGCTTTGAGGGCACTATGGTGTTGAATGCTGAGCTGTAGTCAATGAATAGCATTCTCACGTAGGTGTTCCTCTTGTCCAGGTGGGAAAGGGCAGTGTGGAGTGCGATAGAGATTGCATCATCTGTGGATCTGTTGGGGCGGTATGCAAATTGGAGTGGGTCTAGGGTTTCTGGGATTATGCTGTTGATGTGAGCCATGACCAGTCTTTCAAAGCACTTCATGGCTACAGACGTCAGTGCCACGGGTCGGTAGTCATTTAGGCAGGTTATCTTAGAGTTCTTGGGCACGGGGACTATGGTGGTCTGCTTGAAACATGTTGGTATTACAGACTCAGTCAGGGACATGTTGAAAATGTCAGTGAAGACACTTGCCAGTTGGTCAGCACATGCTCGGAGTACACGTCCTGGTAATCCGTCTGGCCCTGCGGCCTTGTGAATGTTGACCTGCTTAAAAGTCTTACTCACATCGGCTACGGAGAGCGTGATCACATAGTCGTCCGGAACAGCTGGTGCTCTCATGCATGCTTCAGTGTTGCTTGCCTCGAAGCGAGCATAGAAGTGGTTTAGCTCGTCTGGTAGGCTTGTGTCACTGGGCAGCTCGCGGCTGTGCTTCCCTTTGTAGTCTGTAATAGTTTTCAAGCCCTGCCACATCCGACGAGCGTCAGAGCCAGTGTAGTATGATTCAATCTTAGACCTGTATTGACTCTTTGCCTGTTTGATGGTTCGTCGGAGGTCATAGCGGGATTTCTTATAAGCGTCCGGGTTAGAGTCCCGTTCCTTGAAAGCGGCAGCTCTACCCTTTAGCTCAGTGCGGATGTTTCCTGTAATCCATGGCTTCTGGTTGGGGTATGTACGTACGGTCACTGTGGGGACGACATCATCGATGCACTTATTGATGAAGCCAGTGACTGATGTGGTGTACAAAGCTGTCATCAAGGCAAAGGGTGGCTATTTGAAGAATCTAAAATTATATTTTGATGTAACACTTATTTTTTTGGTTACTACATGATTCCATATGTGTTATTTCACTGTTTTGATGTCTTCATTATTATTATACAATGTAAAAATAAAGAACCCCTTGAATGAGTAGGTATGTTCAGACCTTTGACTGGTAGTGTACTTCCCCAGAGTCAGATGAATTCGTGGATAAAATGTCTTTCCGCGTGCAGTTTGAAGGAAGGTGCAATTGCTAACTAGCATTAGCGCAATGCTAGAAGATACCATAGACTTCCAGCTAGTTAGCATTGGCTCGCGAAACTACCTCTTAACTTCCTTCATACTGGACACAGAGACCTACACATTATATACTCATCTGACTCCTTGCCAAAATCCCGAAGTATCCCTTTAATTACGTCACTTTTTTGTTTTGTGCCAACTTCGCATTGGGCTTTGAACAGGGGAGGCAGCCTGGTTCCAATACGAATGCAATCAACTCTCACGCGGTGCAAAACAAGCCTACCAGATTAATAGAATCCCATCATTGATCGTTACCAAAGCACCAAGTCTGGAACCAACAGGACCCTGAACAGCTTCTATCCCCAAGCCATAAGACTACTAAATAGTTAGTCTGGGTAGCTATTGGTTAACTATTTAACTATCTGTGTTTACCCTTTTTTGTTTTCTCCACTAACTCCTTTGAATCATCACATACGCTGCTGTTATTGTTTATTATCTATCCTTTTGCCTAGTCACTTTATCCCTACCTATATGTACGTATCTACCTTAACTACCTCGTACTCCTGCATATAGCCAAGTCATCGTTACTCATTGTGTGTTTATTCCTTATTATTTTTCTCTTTTTTCTCTAAGTTGTTGGGAAGTCAGCATTTCACTGTTAGCTTACACCTGTTGTTTACGAAGCATGTGACAAATAGGGATGTGCATCTTTTCCCTTTAAAGACTATTCGATCCGTTTCTAGATACATGGGATACGATACAGGAACGATACGCTTTAGTTTGAATCTATTCGGTTTGATTAAAGAACTAATCGATACAATTCGATGTACCAACATGTTGCATTAACACATTCATTTCATTCTAATTAAAATCTGCTGCTGATGGAGCTCATGAGCTGGATCTGTCTGAGCTGACGTGTGTGAATGATGCATGTACTGTGTAGGCACCTGTGATGTACCATAAGGGAAACTAAGCATCTACCACTATCAGATTAGGGGGGGAAATGTAGCCCATGTCTTTTGTCCTCCCACTTTGGTTCTGAAATCACCATCACCCACTCATTTTGACGGTTTGGACGTTTTTATTTTTGTGATCTTCGGCCATGCAGTGTGTGCCTTGCAAAAGTGATTGCTGTCCTCGTTATGAAATTATCAACTTTACCATGTATTTCTAAAAATGACCATATACACTGATTGTTTAAATCAAAACTACCAACGTTATTGCTGATGGTGAACCTGAGCAATCATAATACATTCTATTGTAAGCCCCATTCAGCAGGTATAGCCAGATGAGAGTTTAGCATTTGAATGCTGAAGGTGCCGTGCAGATTTGTTTTTGCTTTGTCATTATGGGGTATTGTGTGTAGATTGAGGGGGGAAAAACACAATTTAATCCATTTTAGAATAAGGCTGTAACATAACAAAATGTGGGAAAAGTCAAGGGGTCTGAATACTTTCCGAGTGCACTGTATCTTTCAAGCATAAGGGACATGTCTGTCCGTAATGTTGCACCTGCTATGACTATGCTGTGGATGTCCGTTTTTATTTTTATGTGGTTGGATTTTGGCCACGGGTGACGTCACAGTGCGGTGCTGAAATCTTCTTTCCATCTTCTCAGGCGAATCTCATCAGTCCCTCAGTGTCAGAGATGCCGTCCGCCATGGGACCCAGCACTCCTGCTGCTGCCCTGGCCGAAGCGCTGGAGAGCTCTGGTCGGATCATAGACCAACACCTTCAGGAAGACCGCTGCTTCCCTGACCTCTCAGAGCTTCTTAATGTCCCCTCTCACAGTAGGTCAAGTGATCAGTGGTATAAGTTTGTATGTTCAAGTTTGTCAAATCTATTTATCTCACAGGTCACTCTATTCATAATACTTGGCTGTAGCCTTCTTACTGTGTCTAGGGAGACTACAGCCACGTCTCGGGGCTTACTTCACTTTCCAAATTGTGCTAAGGTGATTTCCCCCTCTGTGTTGCAGACATGCCATCTTTGTCTGGGGGGTCGGACATGGACTACCCTCTTCAGGAACCTGGGCTGCTCAGTGTGCCAAACCTCCCTGAGCTCAGTGCAGTCCGCAGGGTTCCCCTACCTCCTGAGCTGGTGGAGCAATTCAGCCGTATCCTTTTCAGAGAATACACAGAGGGAACTGTGTCTAGGGAAAGATCTCAATTGCATACTCCTTGCGTCCTCTCTCCTTGTCTCCTTCTCAAAACCCATTGGACTAGAAAGCCAGGGTTTTGAGAAAGAGGCGAGGACGCGATGAGTATGCAATTGACATTCTCCCTAGGTCTCACCCGTAGAACTCAGAAGTGCCGGTGCAGGGTTATATGAACTGTGTCTATGTAAAACTAACCACCACTTCAAACAAGTTGCCTAGCCCTTAACCTCCCCCTAACAGATATGCAGTGCAATTGTATGATGGGAGTTTTTCCTGAAATCTGTCGGGCGTGGCTCACCATTGACAACGATATCTTCATGTGGAATTATGAGGATGGGTGAGTACCAAGCGCTCTGAAATAGTCACTTTATGCAGGAGCAGTAAACATGGACCCATTTTCCCTGTCTCTTGTCTGTGCTACAGGGGGGACGTTGCATATTTTGACGGCCTCAGTGAAACCATCCTGTCCGTGGGGCTGGTCAAACCTAAAGCAGGTAAAATTGCATGACTCTTTTACCTGAGCTATTTTTCCTATATTCAAAGTCACATCAGCTTTGTAGGTGTTTGGCTTAACTTAACCAACAGAATCACATTTTTCCCACAGGGATTTTCCAGCCACACATCCACTTCCTGTTGGTCCTAGCCACTCCTGTGGATGTGGTGATCCTGGGGCTCAGCTTCCCTAAAGCTCAGGCAGGTGAGTAATGATGACCCTTATACCTGAACCACACACTATACACAATACAATACCCCTGGTGTCATCAATTCAGCATACAGTTATGAAATTGGTTGATTTGGTTGTGTTGTTGGTATTAGTATTAACCTACCATGGGCTACTTCAGAAATCTGTCATCTAATCTCTCTTTCCTCTATTCCTCTCTCTCTCTCAGGGTTGAATGACAGCATGTCTGGAGGGATGCAGTTGCTCCCAGACCCGCTGTACTCCATCCCCACAGACAACACCTACCACCTGGCCATCACCTCCACCGATCTGGGACGCATCTTCCTGGCAGGGAAAGATGGCTGCCTGTATGAGGTAGCCTACCAGGCCGAGGCAGGCTGGTTCAGCCAACGCTGCAGGAAGATTAACCACTCCAAAAGCAGCCTGTCCTTCCTCGTCCCCTCTCTGCTCCAGTTCTCCTTCTCTGAGGACGGTAAGGATAGTTTGCAGGCACCTTGTGGAGTTGGAACTTTCTTTTGTTATGCTCTAGTTCTTAAATTAAATTTGACATCACTTTATTATCTTTGTGCTCCACAGACCCGGTTGTGCAGATTGCCATTGACAACTCTCGTAACACTCTCTTCACCCGCTCAGAGAAGGGGGTTATACAGGTATACAACCCATAAGAGTTTAACAATTGGAATGGTAGCACTGTAGTAAATATCCATATGTTTGAGGATTTGCGGAATAGGACATTGCATTGGTTAGAACTTTGTCAGACATTTGAAAAGGTTATTCTAAATAGGACATTGAGTTTAAAGCTGATGTTGCGTGTTCCAGGTGTATGACCTGGGTACAGATGGGCAGGGTATGAGCCGTGTGGCGGCCATGTCACAGAGTTCTATCGCAGCTGCAGCAGGAAACATTGCCAGGTCTGTCTGCTACTCCTCACCTCTGGTTAATATCCAGAGGGCCAGTGAGTGGTTCAAATGGTCAAAGGTTATCACTGCTCGAGAACAGGTCAAATTAATCTCTTTGTTATTTTGTATCTCTCCCTATAGGACCATAGATCGCTCTGTGTTTAAACCCATCGTACAGATCTCTGTGATAGACAGATTTGAGTCCTCCGACTGCCACCTGCTGGCTGTCACTCACGCAGGTAAGGAGACGGACTGACATTATTTTCATTACAGGATAAGTGTCTGCAAAGACCTAATGAAGACCTTACTGTAGCGCTCTATCTCTGCTTGTAGGAGTGCGTCTCTACTTCAGCACTACTCCCTTCGCCCCACCACATGCCAAGCACCCAGTGGCACGCCCTAATCTGCTAGCTCTGGTCCATGTCCGCCTGCCTCCAGGCTTCTCTGCCTCCTCCACCCTGCAGAAGCCTGCCAAGGTCCACAAGGCTCTGTACAGCAAAGGTAAAGCCACTCTGAAGTCTATATGCTATCCTGCAGTGGAGGCTGGTGGGAGGAGCTATAGGAGGACAGGGTCATTGTAATGGCTGGAATGGAACAGCATTAAACCCATCAAACATATGAAAACCACATGTTTGACTCAGTTCCATTAATTCCATTCCAGCCATTACAATGAGCCCATCCTTCTATAGCTCCTCCCATCAGCCTCCACTGCTATCCTGTTATAATTGGTCCTCAAGCATCACCCTATAAGTTAAAGGGTCAATCTGCTGTTGCTACATACATTTTGGGACTTAAAAATGTATAATATACCAACTGATTCTTAAAGAATATAACCTATAAATGCCTCATGAACTTAGTTCAACTGTCATACCCAATCAGAACCCAAAATATAACCTTGTTTTTTTCTCCACTGATTGTAAACAATGTAAATGTAAACACTGTATAGCCTCAAAACATGCTTAAAACTATACTTGTAATATCATGGATGGTCAGTCCTTGCATCCATAGCGCTGTCTATTAATTTGAGTGGTTACATTTCTCCAAGCCCATCCCTTAGAATTTTACCAAAGCGGAGGCGGGGTGTCTGCTTTGTTAGTGATTCAATTGCAGATTGCCCCTTTAAAGGTTTACTCATGTGTTGATCCCTACAGGAGTTCTCCTGATGACAGCGTCTGAGACTGAGGACAGTGACATCCTGTGGTGTATCAACCATGACTCCTTTCCCTTTAAGAAACCCCTGATGGAGGCCCAGGTGGGAGCTGATGGAGTTAGGATCATAGTTAGAAATATTACACAGGATCCACTTTGATGTCCTATCAAAACCCAGCTTACTTTGCAATGCATACGCTATGATTTTGATTTGTCTTTTTTTGCATTTGTTTGACTTCAAAGAATGTTGTAGCTCATTGTCTGTGTATATCATTGCAGATGATGTCCAATGTAGATGGCCACTCCTGGGCGCTATGTGCCATCGAGGAGGAGAAAGCACCTAAAATCTCTACCCCCCTGAATAATGATCAGGTTCCCCTCACTGCCTCTCCTGTCGTGGTGCAGCAACACAATGTCCCTCCACAGAAGTTTGTCCTTCTTTCTGCCAAGGTACAGTCAAGATTTTACAGCTTAGTTTGTACTGTATGAATGGCACTGTACATTCACCCAGTCGATAAAACTTTTTCAGTCCTGTCTGTAATTTAGTGACCAAAGGCACAAATCTATAAATGTGTTGTTAATCATGGTCTTCCAGGGAAGTCACATCTTCCACAAGTTGCGGCCGGTGGACCAGCTGCGCCACCTACTGGTGAGCAGTGCTGGTGGAGAGAGTGAAGAAGTCGAACGCTTCTTCAAACTGCACAGGGTATAAATCTCTCTCTCATTACTCCCGGTCTTGTTAGTGCAAGCTCCCCTACACACACTCTCTCACTCTCTCTCTGTCTCTCTCTCTATTTCTCTCTGTTTATTGATCTAATCCTCCCTGCTCCCCTCAGGAGGAGCAGGCATGTGCCACTGCTCTGATTCTGTCCTGCTCCAGTGCTGCCAGCGACAGAGAGGTGTCACAGTGGGCCACCAGAGCCTTCTTTAGATATGGAGGAGAGGCTCAGATGAGGTTCCCCTCGTCTCATTCTGCTCCTAGCAACGTTGGAGCGCTTTTCGGCTCTCCTGTACCAGGTGAGGGGCATCTGAGGAAGGATTTCTGCTTGCAGCATTTTAGCATCATACGAATTCCCATTCGTTGTAACATACCAGTGGCAATAATGTCGTATTGGAAATCCCTTGTGTAAGTTATACAGAGTGCAGTGCCATTAGACTGCTGATGAATGAGAAGTTGTCTGTCTGCATCACTTGTCTCACTCCCTGCCTGTTCTTATAGGTTCCCCTATGCCTGTTGGTAGCAGCCCCATGCCTAACCCTAGTTTCCTAGCTACGCCGGCTCCAGGTACACAACCCTCCTTTCCCTCCATATGTTTGCCGAGTGCCATGCAGTCAACAGTACTCAACACACATCAGTGGAGGCTGCTGAGGGGAGGATGGCTCATAATAATGGCTGGAATGGAGTCAATGGAATGTGTTTGATACCACTCCATTCCAGCAATTATTATGAGCCGTCCTCTCTGAATATTGGCAACATTGAGTGATTACTCGGGTAGCTTAGTGGGTAAGAGCGTTGTGCCAGTAACCGAAAGGTCGCTGGTTCTAATCCCCGAGCCGACTAGGTGAAAAATCTGTCTGTGCCCTTAAGCAAGGCACTTAACCTTAATTGCTCCTGTAAGTCGCTCTGGATAAGAGCGTCTGCTAAATGACTTAAATGTAAATTACTTAAGAACATTTGAGTGTTTTAATGTCAGTGTGTGTGTTTACCATTGACAACAATCTCTCAGGTATGATGACCCAGAGTGTGTCTACGCCCTATGTACCACCCTTGCCCTCCGCCCCAATCACTGGCATGTCCTCTGGGCCAGAGGTGGTCTTCTCAGGGAAACACAATGGCATCAGTGTCTACTTCACACGCATACTGGGGTGAGTCACCTCACCTAGACAACGTACAGTACTCAGGCCTCACCTCCATACTGGGGTGAGTCACCTCACCTGGACAACGTACGGTACTCAGTCCTCACCTCCATACTGGGGTGAGTCACCTCACCTAGACAACGTACTGTACGGTACTCAGGCCTCACCTCCATACTGGGGTGAGTCACCTCACCTAGACAACGTACTGTACGGTACTCAGGCCTCACCTCCATACTGGGGTGAGTCACCTCACCTAGACAACGTACTGTACGGTACTCAGGCCTCACCTCCATACTGGGGAAATGCAATTTTCTGGCATGGTGTTTAAAGGGATAGTTCACCCAAATTACAAAATGACATTGGTTTCCTTACCCTGTAAGCAGTCTTTGGAAAAGGTATGACATCAATCCATGTTTTGGTTTAGTTATTATGAGCCGTCCTCTCTGAATATTGGCAACATTGAGTGATTACTCAGGTAGCTTAGTGGGTAAGAGCGTTGTGCCAGTAACCGAAAGGTCGCTGGTTCTAATCCCCGAGCCGACTAGGTGAAAAATCTGTCTGTGCCCTTAAGCAAGGCACTTAACCTTAATTGCTCCTGTAAGTCGCTCTGGATAAGAGCGTCTGCTAAATGACATTGGTTTCCTTACCCTGTAAGCAGTCTTTGGAAAAGGTATGACATCAATCCATGTTTTGGTTTAGTAGGCACAAATCCCATTCAAGTCATGTGACTAATATTAGCATTTTTTTTAATTTGGGTGAACTATCGCTTTAACTTTATACTGGACTCAGAAACATTACTCATATGTTTCAGTTATGTCATGGCTTGAGTGACTTCACTAAGTTAACTTATCATTATTGATTAACAGTAATATCTGGGACGGGAGTCTTGCTGTTGAGAAGATAATCATTAAAGGAAACCAGGCTGTCAGTATTGTGAGTATTACATAAACAGCAAATTACAGTCTTCCTTTGCAAATTAATTTGAGGATGAAGATGATAATCAATCTCTCTCCCAGTTGGAGAGCACAGCCTGCTCATCTGATCTGGAGTCAGTTCTTCTGGAGCTCCGTGGTCTGAAGGACTTCCTGGATAAGAACTCCCAGTTCAGCCCCTCATCTCTGGGTGCAGCCAGGTAAGACAGACCCTTGGGCCCTGCTTCTCCCCGTGTGTGGCCAAACCCTGGGCCGGCTAGTTTATAGGAAATATAGCTACACTTCTATGGTCATCGGGTGAAATAAATACAGTTTGAATAGAAAGTTATGCTCTACAGTTTCAGCTCCCCAGCCAATCTGCAGCAGCGGCTGCTAGGTTTCATGCGGCCTGATGGAGGAGCCAGTTCTCAGCAGGAACTCCAGAGGAAGTACCACAGTAAGTAATGTGTGGGTGTTCGGTAAACTGACTTCCAAATCAAGGAGCAACCAGAATTACCGCAGGATCTGAGGATCATCATAACACTAGTAAGAACACACTGTTCTTGAATTATTTTGTGGTCTCTGTGACTGTCTAAACCTTATTTCTATCCCCTCCTGCCCCGTCCCCAGCCGAGGCTCAGGTCTATGAGAAGATGTCCCTGCAGTGTATCCAGCAGCTGGTGCATCGCTCCTGTCAGACCCTGGCCCTGTGGAAGCTGCTGTGTGACCACCAGTTCAGCCACGTCATCTCTGAACTACCCAAGGTCATCTCCAGATCCATGACCTCTCTGGCGACTGGTTTCCCGGACACAGATTAACCCTAGTCCATTCTCCATTGGGACTGATTTTTTTTATCTAGGACCAGGCTTTAATCTGTGCCCGGGAAACCAGCGCTGGATATTCAGGATGGGCAGGAATACATTGTGCTGTCAATCACTGACTGATTCATCCCATTTGTTTAATCATCCAATGTATATTTGTGAAGTCTTTTGTCAAAGATGTCTCTCTTGTATCCTGTTTATAACCCCTGTGTAACTTGTGTTCTAGGAGTTCCAGGATCAGGTGAAGGGGGTGAGTTTTAAGGACGTGGTGATCCGGGGTCGGGAGCTGTCCGGAGCCCTGATCACAGCCCTCATCAACGTCTACATCAAAGACTCTGCCTCTGTAGATTCCATTAGCACCCACCTCAGAGACATCTGCCCCCTACTGTACAGCAATGACGACAGCGTCTGCTCAAAGGTAGAGTATACTCACACACACTGACACATAGTTTTTTATTTGTCTATATGACAGGGACGATGTACAACAGACATTGCATCAGATTTTGGCTACAAAGCTCATTCTTATCTGCAGTCCATGGGTAAACTTTGATAGCATCCACTGCCCTCTTTTCTCCCTGTATAACAGTATCTGAGATAACTGAATGTCTCTCTCCCTCCCAGGCTAATGAGTTGCTGCAGGGCTCCAGACAGATCCAGACTAGGACAGATAAGGAGAGAACACTGAGAGAGTCACTACAGCTCTACCAGCTGATCAGCCATCACACAGACCTGCCACTGGTCTGCTCCCAGTACAGACAGGGTAAGGCTGCCCATCACACTGGCCTGGAGCCAGTAAAAACATGTCGGGCCATTGGATCTCGTCTGTCACTGGCCCGACCAGGCCAGTAACTTGTCAGTGCATTTTTGCGATCCAGTTCAACATTTACCTGCTCTGTTGCAGTCTGCCTTTGAAAACCATTGAAGATTACACGCGGAAAAGTCAAGCTATTTGTATTTGAGCAATATGATTGGCCGTTTATTCAAGCACCGCCATGCTCCCGCGAGTCACAACTACTCGAGACGTACATGAGTTGATGCCGTCAATCTACTCGCTCAGCTTATTTATTTTAGCTTTGGAACGTGATTTACAAAAGTAAACCTTTAATAGTGAACATACTAGCAATATGCTGCCTACTGGTGATAGTCTGCAAAAGAAAGCTGCAAAAAGACATCTAGCATTTGTCTCGGCTAGCCTACTGTAGCTAGGTCTAGATCTTTTTTGGAACACAGTTGTCTTAAAGGGGCAGCGTCCTATTTTGAGATGTATAAAAAAATAATCTCGAAATGACACTTTAGAAACAAAAATGAATGCAATTAATACAATGCAATTCTAAAGAATCCAGTAATGACTTGCGTTGCAAAATTATATTACACAGATCTTTAATACATATCATAATAACCAAATGTAGCCAATAATAGCTGAATATAGAGAGAAAGCATGCCAACCTATAGGCCTTGCATGACCCCAATGTATTTAAAAACTACACCATGTCCGGGGCAGTACACATTATTTTTGGGCCAGTAAGAAAATAAGTTAAAGGGAAATTTTACGATTTTTCAACTTCATAGTCATAATCTCCTGCACCACCCCAACATCAACATATGTGAAAATAGCATATTTCTATGTTTTGTAGTCGAAAGGATAGAGGAAGATAAGTGTTTCCAATGACATCATTGCTTAAAATCACATGATGCACACTGATGTCATTGGAAACACTTACAGTTGAAGTCGGAAGTTTACATACACTTAAATTGGAGTCATTAAAACTAGTTTTTCAACCACTCCACAAATGTCTTGTTAACAAACCATAGTTTTGGCAAGTCGGTTAGGACATCTCCTTTGTGCATGACACAATTCATTTTTCCAACAATTGTTTACAGACAGATTATTTCACTTATAATTCACTGTATCACAATTCCAGTGGGTCAGACGTTTCCATACACTAAGTTGACTGTGCCATTTAAACAGCTTGGAAAATTCCAGAAAATTATGTCATGTCTTTAGAAGCTTCTGATAGGCTAATTGACATCATTTGAGTCAATTGGAAGTGTACCTGTGGATGTATTTCAAGGCCTACCTTCAAACTCAGTGCCTCTTTGCTTGACATCATGGGAAAATCAAAAGAAATCAGCCAAGACCTCAGAAAATAAATTGTAGACCTCCACAAGTCTGGTTCATCCTTGGGAGCAATTTCCAAATGCCTGAAGGTACCACGTTCATCTGTACAAACAATAGTACGCAAGTATAAACACCATGGGACCACGCAGCCGTCATACCGCTCAAGAGGGAGACGCGTTCTGTCTCCTAGAGATGAACGTACTTTGGTGCGAAAAGTGCAAATCAATCCCAGAACAACAGCAAAGGACCTTGTGAAGATGCTGGAGGAAACCGGTACAAAAGTATCTATATCCACAGTAAAACAAGTCCTATATCGACATAACCTGAAAGGCCGCTTAGCAAGGAAGAAGCCACTGCTCCAAAGCCGCCATAGAAAACCCAGACTACGGTTTGCAACTGCACATGGGTACAAAGATCGTACTTTTTGGAGAAATGTCCTCTGGTCTGATGAAACAAAAATAGAACTGTTCGGCCATAATGACCATCGTTATGTTTGGAGGAAAAAGGGGATGGCTTACAAGCCAAAGAACACCATTCCAACCGTGAAGCACGGGGGTGGCAGCATCATGCTGTGGGGCTGCTTTGCTGCAGGAGGGACTGGTGCACTTCACAAAATAGATGGCATCATGAGGAAGGAAAATTATGTGGATATTTTGAAGCAACATCTCAAAACATCAGTCAGGAAGTTAAAGCTTGGTCGCAAATGGGTCTTCCAAATGGACAATGACCCCAAGCATACTTCCAAAGTTGTGGCAAAATGGCTTAAGGACAACGAAGTCAAGGTATTGGAGTGGCCATCACAAAGCCCTGACCTCAATCCTATAGAAAATGTGTGGGCAGAACTGAAAAAGCGTGTGCGAGCAATGAGGCCTACAAACCTGACTCCGTTACACCAGCTCTGTCAGGAGGAATGGGCCAAAATTCACCCAACTTATTGTGGGAAGCTTGTGGAAGGCTACCCGAAACATTTGACCCAAGTTAAACAATTTAAAGGCAATGCTACCAAATACTAATTGAGTGTGTGTAAACTTCTGATCCACTGGGAATGTGATGAAATAAATTAAAGCTGAAATAAATCATTCTCTCTACTATTATTCTGACATTTCACATTCTTAAAATAAAATAAAGTGGTGATCTTAACTGACCTAAGACAGGGAATTTCTACTAGGATTAAATGTCAGGAATTGTTAAACTGAGTTTAAATGTATTTGGCTAAGGTGTATGTAAACTTCCGACATCAACTGTATCTTCCTCTATCTTTTTTTCCACACAACATAGAAATGTGCCATTTTCACATATGTTGACATTAGGGTGGTGTTGGAGATGATTAACCTCGGAGGATCGGACCCTTTTTTTCAATTTTCGCCCAAAATGACATACCGAAATCTAACTGCCTGTAGCTCAGGACCTGAAGCAAAGGTATGCATATTCATTTACATTTACATTTTTGTCATTTAGCAGACGCTCTTATCCAGAGCGACTTACAGTTAGTGATTACATAATTTTTTTATACTGGCCCCCCGTGGGAATCGAACCCACAACCCTGGCGTTGCAAACGCCATGCTCGATCAACTGAGCTACATCCCTGCTGGCCATTCCCTCCCCTACCCTGGACGACGCTGGGCCAATTGTGCGCCGCCCATGAGTCTCCCAGTCGCGGCCGGCTGCGACAGAGCCTGGATTCGAACCAGGATCTCTAGTGGCACAGTTAGCACTGCGATGCAGTGCCTTAGACCAGTGCACCACTCTTGATACCATTTGAAAGGAAACACTTTGAAGTCTGTGGAAATGTGAAATAAATGTAGGAGAATATAACACATTAGATCTGGTAAAAGATAATACAAACAAAAAAACATGCGTTTCTATTTTTTTTGTTCCATCTTTTTAAATGCAAGAGAAAGGCCACAATATATTGCAGTTTAGGCGCAATTTAGTAGTGTGTGTGTGCAAAGTTTCAGATTGATCCAGTGAAGCATTGCAATACTGGACTATTTTGTATCAAGTCTGCCCAAATGTGCTGAATTGGTCAATTGATACATTTTCAAGTACATAACTATAGAGAACATACACAAATGATATGGTAATACAAAATGTAAGTTTACACACTCCCAGGAATGTCATACATGATGGATCATTAGCTTATACACTTACTAGATGGCCGGGCGGGGTGGATGTGGACCCAGAGACAGCAGGGGTTTAAACTGTAGAAACCAGTTCCTACATTTGAATATAAAAATGGATTTTATCAAACAAAACTATGCTACATTTTATCTCTGGGACCCTTAGGATGACAAATCAGCACAAGATTACTGAATGTAAGTACATTATTTACCTTCAGAGGTGAATGTATCAAACCAGTTGCCGTGAAACGTTTTTTGTTGTGCACTCTCCTCAAACAATAACATGGTATTTTATCACTGTAATAGGTACTGTAAATTGGACAGTGCCATTGGATTAACAAGAATGTAAACTTTCTGTCCGTATAAGACATGTCTATGTCCTGGATAGTTTGCTGTTACTTACAACAGTCATGCTAATCACATTAGCGCACGTTAGCTCAACCGTCCCGTATACGAAACACCGATCCCGCAGAGGTTAACATAAAGTTCAACATTGGACCCTGCTAATACTATTTGAAATGTCCCCGTCTGTTAATGCTTAGTGTGTGGGTGGATGCTAACGATGTTTCTCTCCCTCTCAGTGCGTTTCTATGAGGGGGTGCTGGAGCTGTGCCTGACTGCAGCGGATAAGAAGGATCCTCAGAGGCTGGGACCTCACTTCTATAAGAATGGAGAGCCAGAGGAGGACCAGGCTGGAGCACTGGCCTTTCAGGAGAGGTAACCAACTACCTGTTTTACATTGATCATAAGACTGTGGTAATAGATATCTGCTAAGGCACATATGTCAGAGTCAAGGCCCGCGGGCCACATCCGGCCCGCGAGAAGGTTTTTTACGGCCCCTGGGATGATCTTGATTTATTATTAGAACCGGCCCGCAGACCGCAGCAAGCCGGCAGCCCGCAGATCTTTTACACGCACCAATACTACATTTCCCACAATGCAACGGTGACGCACCGAGCAGTAGGCTGCTTCATTTCAATATTTATTGGCACAGCAGTCGTCAGCATCACAGTAAAATTAACTTTCAGATACCCATCAAAAATGGCAAAACGGAAGGTGGACACTGAGAACCGGGGGTTTCAAACAAGGTGGGAGTCGGAGTATATGTTCACGGAGGTAGCTGGAAAACCTGTGTGTCTTCTGTGTGGAGAAAGTGTGGCGGTACTGAAAGAGTATAATCTGAGACGACATTATGAAACGAAACACGCGGACAAAAACAAGAATATGGACATGGAACGATGGCTAAGCCAGGGAAAGGTGCTTCAAAGATGTTTCGAGCTTCGTGAGGAGATTTGTCTGTTCTTGGACAGCAAAGGGAAAGACACAACACAACTCCGAGACGAAATGTTTCTGTGTGAAATGGCTTTTCTGTGTGACATTACGAGTCATCTGAATGCAATGAACTTGCAGCTGCAGGGTCGGGATCATGTCATCTCTGATATGTACAGTACAGTGAAGGCATTTAAAACCAAACTGACTCTGTGGGAGACGCAGATGCGGAAAGAAAATTTGAGCCACTTTCCCAGCTGCCAGACCATGAAAGAGAAGCTCTCTACCAGTGCGTTCCCGAGCGCACAGTTGGCTGATAAAATAGGTATGCTTGCCGCTGACTTTCGACGCCGATTTGCTGACTTTGAAGCACAAAAAAGCAGGTTGGAACTGCTCGGTAACCCATTTGCTGTTGACGTGGAAAGCTCACCACCAAACCTCCAAATGGAGTTGATTGACCTCCAATGCAATGATGCACTGAGGGCAAAATATGCGGCAGTGGGTGCTGCGGAGTTCGCCCGTTTCCTCCCCGACACAATGCCCCAGCTGCGCATCCAGGCTGCTCAAACGTTGTCTATGTTTGGCAGCACATACCTGTGTGAACAACTGTTTTCTTTGATGAACCTGAACAAAACATCACACAGAAGTCGACTTACTGCTGAACACCTCCACTCAATTCTGAGGATTTCCTCAGCTCAGAGCCTTACCCCGAACATTGATGAACTTGTGGAAAAGATGGGACACCACCAAGTATCACCCTCAACCTCAAACAAGTGAACATTACTGTGCAATCACATATTTAGAGTTTTTACTCAGTTCAAGTTTAAAAGTTAAAGTTTAATATTTGTTTTCACTGCATGTTACTTCTCCTTAAACAAAGTGTTGTTTTTGATTAATAGATTTTTGCACTTTATTTTATTGTATTTCAATCCAATTATATTTTAAAAATATTTCAGTTGAGTGGATGATAGAAAATTGCTATTATTGTTTTTTTCTTTGAAGTAAATTTAGCCCACTTTTGCTAAAATAGAAAATATAGGCTACTGATGGTGCCTTGAATACCGGTTTCTTTCATTTAATGTTCATGTTATGGGGATTTTTATATAAAGGAAATTTGTCTTTTGTGTCTGTTGAAAATTAAAGATTACTGACAGAGCCATAAGAAAATATTGCTTTATTTATCTGATCATATTGGAATATATTTGTTAGGTTTTCAGTAGGTTCAATTAGGTTCACTAGACTATATGCGTCATTTAAAAAATTTTCAATGAACATTCGAACAGTCCGGCCCTCGGCTTGTAGCTAAATTTTTTATTTGGCCCTCCGTCCATTTGACTTTGACACCCCTGTGCTAAGGGATGTCCGGGCCCTTTATTTTCTCCCTTGTGCTGACATCGATTGACCCCCCCCTTTAGGTTGTCATGTTATAAGTGCATCACAGATACCATGCAGGAGCTGGTGAACCAGAGTAAAGCTGCTCCTCAGTCTCCCAGCGTCCCTAAGCAGCCAGGACCCCCTGTCATGACCTCTGACCCCAACATGCTGAGCAACGAGGACGCTACCGCCCACGTGAGTGCTGCAGGAAGGAGACTTGTCCCCAATGGCAATAGCAAGATTTTGTTTTTGTTTGTTTCAATTAATGAATAAGCTGTTGTCATGATGTTCTTCTCGTTCTCCCTGGTAGTTTGAGCAGATTATTGGTCTGGCCCAGAAGTCACAGGATGAACTCTTCCACATAGCCCTCTATAACTGGCTGATACAGGCTGACCTCACTGACAAGCTTCTGGAGGTAAGAACCTTCTGGCATTGTCCCACAATCACAGCCTGAGATGCCTGGTTCTGAACTTGTATGTTGGATAAGTATAATTGCATTTAACTGATCTTTCATTGTGTGGCCTGGTGGTTTAATATTATCCTCCCTTCTCGCTCTCTGTGGTCTATCCAGGTGAACTCTCCTTACCTGGAGGAACACCTGATGCACATGATCAAACAGGAGCAGAGTAAGGTGCGGAACATGGACCTGCTGTGGAGATACTATGAGAAGAGCCGCAGCTTTGGCAAGGCAGCTCACGTCCTGGCCAGGCTCGCTGACATGCTCAGGTAAAAGGCCTAACACGCTATGAGTCTTTATACATGATGGGCCATTTACACACAATGGTCCTGTGTGGCTCAGTTGGTAGAGCATGGTGCTAAGGATTGATTCCCGCTGGGGCCACCCATACAAAACATGTAGAAACTCATGACTATAAGTCGCTTTGGATAAAAGTGTCGGCTAAATGGCTGTATTTTTTTATCCTCTCCAACAATCATATGAAAATGTCCTCATTCATGTTGATTCTGAGCAATGTTAAATATGAGTATGAACATATAAAGGTGTCTTTCTGTTTGTGCAGTACTGAGATCTCTCTGAAGCAGAGGCTGGAGTACATCTCCAGGGCCATCCTGTCAGCCAAGAGCTCCTCCTGCATCTCTGCCCAGGGAGCTGAGGGGGAGTTCCTGCACGAACTGGAGGAGAAGATGGAGGTACGGAGAGGGGAGGGGAGATTCTAGCCCTCATCCTGAAATAACTACTCACTGATTTATTAGGTTTTTAGATTTTGCACCCTTTGATACAGCTTAGATGTCTATTTTAACTAAAGCTAATATGGTTTGTTCATCCCTCCCAGGTGGTCCGTATTCAGGTCCAGATCCAGGATACTCTGAGCAGACAGTACTCCAAGCATCCCTCTGTACAGGGAGCTGTGTCACAACTAGATTCAGAGCTTATGGACATCACCAAGGTAACAGTGCATGAATCTCTAACATTATCCTTGACTCCAATAGTTTTTTTTTAATACCCCGTCATTTGTCATCCTATCTAGCTGTATGGGGAGTTTGCAGATCACTTCCGTTTGTCTGAATGCAAGCTGGCCATCATCCACTGTGCGGGTCACTCTGACCCCATCCTGGTGCACTCTCTGTGGCAGGAGATCATGGAGACGGGTGTGTACAGACAAATACACATGGTAGCACCTGATGTCATTCCACGCATTTGTGTCTGACGCTTTGGTCCCTTAGAGCTTTTTATTGAATTCTGAACTATTTCTTAAAGGGATCATTTGGAATTTTGTCAACTTCCCCAGTCAGTTGAACTCATAGATATCATATTTATGTCTCTGCGTGCAGTTTGATTGAAGTTGCTAACTAGCGTTAGTGCAATTGCAGAATGCTAGCTGTTTCTGTAAACCATAAAAATGGTATCCACATGTTAATTGGACTCTGGGGAAGTAGATAAAGGGCTTCCATTTCCAAATACCCAAAATAACTGTTATTTTCCATTTGTTCCAGAGCTGGGTGACGGTGTGGCCATGAGTCCAGCCGACAGGATGAGAGCTCTGAGTCTCAAACTGGTGTCTCTGGGAAAGATCTATGCTGGAACACCCAGATACTTCCCTCTAGGTAAAACCACAGGTCTACTTTCCATCTGTTCACCCCATCATTTCTCTGCAGATTTTCCTCTATGTAAAACATCCCCACTTAGTGTAATTACATTAGCAGTTCATGAAGTCAACATGCACAGTATTTCTCTAAGGTATGTGTCTGTAAGGACTGGAAGTATAATCTGTAATTGCCTAATTGTCCACCAACGCTGTGGCCTGTCGTAGATTGTCTACCATTGGACTACAGAGATCTGTTGCATGTGCAAATTGTTTAATGTAGCTAGTTTAATGTAAAGTACTGATTGCTCTTCACTGTCTTGTGCATCCAGAATTCCTTGTGAAGTTTTTGGAACAGGAGGTGTGTCGTCTGAACTGGGACGTGGGCTTCGTCACGTTCACCATGCAGGAGATCGGCGTACAGCTGCCCCGTCTGCTGGAGGTCTACGACCAACTCTTCAAGACACGGGTATATCTCTCAATTAAATGTTATTCATCCCTGAGGGGCAATTACTGCTGGCAGGCATAGGATACGAACAGTGGCGTAGCACAGTTTCGTGGGGCCCCCCGCAAGGTCCGAGCAAGGCTCCCCCCAACCCCCAATTATTTTATTTTTTGATAATTTTGTTGCCTTGGGGCAGAGAAACATTTGCAGTTTTATAGCATATCTCATGCTATATTACACATTTTGCCATGAGTCTGGGAGAAAATGTTGCTATTTTAGAGCTAATTTCCTGCTATTCTACACATTTTGCCATGAGGCTGAGAGAGAATCTTGCCGTTTTTAAAGGTCATTTCCTGTAATAAAAAAATAATAATCATGGCTTATGATGTGTTCATATGCTACCCCCCCCTCTCTCTGTGGATACAAATAGATAAAGATACCCTTAATAATAAAGGGTTATTATGAATTTCAGATTTTGCACCTGTTTAACTTGAGCATTATTTAATCAATAAGGAATGGTGCTGTACACTTAATACTGAATGTCTCGAACTCTGGATGTGTGTCTCCCAGGATCCGTGTTGGCAGCGTCTGAAGAAGCCTCTCCACCTGGTAGAGTGTATCCATGTGCTGCTGTCAGGATACGTAGAGGATCCCAGCAAAGTACCAACATATGACCGGTAACTAAACAACCACCAAGTGTGTTAACCTTTGCTGCTGTTTCCAATAGAAATACTATTTATTTGGTAACATATCAACCTGTTTACATAGTAATGAGAATGTAATTGTTTGTAAAATGCATCTAATTGATCTAATACGCACAGTCTTACTCGTATTTCTTTCTCTCGCTGTCAGACGGCGGTTCACTAATGTGTGTCTGGATAACATCTGTGGTTACCTGGTGGAGCTGCAGTCCCTGAGTCCCAACTCTGCCCTGCAGCTCACCATCGGCAACTTCAAGGCCCTGCAGGCCAAGCTGGAGAAAGTTCACTGAGGAGGTCTCCAAGGGTCAGGGGTCACAGGAGGATCCGCGATTAAAGGAACAGAATGAGACTGCTACTATTGGAGTGCTAAATACAGAGACCTCAAGATTGATAGAGGTTTACAGTTCTAAATAACATGATTTGAACGATTCCCTTCCTCTCTTTGTAGATCTTCTGTTGTGGCTGATTTCTGATAGTGGAGTGACATTGAGAATACAGTTTGGTCTATGTCTGCAGTTACGTCTCAAAGGACTAACACCCCCGCATTTCTCATGAAGAGGGGGGTATTGACCAGCTCGCTCTACACCCCTATCTTCAGATGTTTTACATCCTGTTTTTAACTTATTTTATAAGTACAGTATGCATTTTGTTTTGTGAACAATAATCCTAGAAGTTATGTTAAAAAGAGGTGAGGACACTTATTGGTGTCTGAGTGAATTGTATTGGTCTCACAAAAATGTATGTTGGGCAAACATGAACTGTTGTTCAGACACCGACTGGGAGAGTACAATACTTTACAGGGATGGGATCTTCATTTAAACCCACATCATGGAGTTACTGCACTTCTCATGTGGGTCAAATCTAGAATGTACGTATGTTGAGGAGAAATGCACTTACATGATTGCTCTGATGGCTTGGTCATTTTGTTTAAACTTAAATCCACTTGCTGGAAATCCTGCTGATGTCATTCCTGACAGTGTCTTTTCCTCTACATGCCATGATTCAGTCATAAGTATTGCAATTTGTTACATGGATATTGTGATTTGAGGACACTGTCTTAATCACTCCGCTCATTTAAGCCCCTTTTTAATCCCCCCCAGATGTCAAGAAGACGTTGTTAAGCTTATTGTATTTGGGTTTGTCTGTACCTATCAACCTCTATCTGTAATACAAAGGGGAATATTCTGCCAAAGGTTTATAACAACAATGACAACTAAACCTTTCTTTTTACATGTTTTGTTTGTATTTCTTCTTTTTCTGAATGACCGAACACCTTGAACAGTCTGTGTGCTTTTGGCTGACTAGTTAAGTAGCATTTATTTGACTGTATGAGTGTTTGTCTGATTATGTATCTTGTACTCAACTGAGATTTCGTGGTTAAGCCAGAAGTCCGTGATCCATGCCTTGTATAAGGGTGCTGTTCAAATAGCTTTACTCAGACAACTTAGGCATGCAATTTTTATATTTTACATAAATGGAATCATTAAAATTTTTGTATAAAAAAATAAAATAAAGTATAATAAAACTTGCAACCTGTTCAGTATATAAAAAAACAACCCTTCTCTTTTTGCACAACCAAATCTTCAGAGATCCATTTATGGTACCTGTAGTGACGTCACTGCAGGACCCAATGTTATAGCACTACGTGTTGACAAATTACAAAGTTCCCCAGTTTAAAGGTTCATTCTTTGTGTCCCTGCTGTTTTTGTTTACATAATTACCCTTAATTGAGGATAATTGTACCTCAGGGCTGGTTGCTGTCACTGCAACGTAGTAATAATTGCTGGATGTTTTTCTCCAAGTACTCAGGCATGGGCCTTTTGATTTTAATGTGCTGGAAACAAAACAATTAAAGTAGCTTAGACTCCAGAAATGCGGAATTGATTTCCCAACCTCATGAAGCACTTAACCAAAACTTTATACGATGTAATGATATCTATAGTGTATTTTATGTAACTTACATTCTACAGGGTTGACAACATAAACATCTTTGTGATTCAGTCACCATCGCAAAGAAATTGGTTTTATTGCCACACACCAGATAGGTGCAGTGAAATGTGTTTTACAGGGTTAAGTGTCTTACTCAAGGGCACACTGACAGATATTTCACCTTGTCGGTTCAGGCATTCGAACCAGCGACCGTTTGGTTACTGGGCCAATGCGCTAACCGCTAGGCTACCTGCCACCCTATCTCTATCTGTCAGAGAATAGTTGGAGTTCACTGATATTCATCACCTAGATGTGATGGTGTATACATCAAAGATGGTGGATAAATAAGATAGTTCACTCAGGCCGTTTACCATTGAAAAGAATGGTCAAGGTTCCTGTCTGCGTAAGGGAACAGCAGGCTCTTGTCTACTTATAAGGCATGTTCCTCTACCCAGGTGTTGCCAGCAACCCCTTCACTGGTCAGGGACAATAAGCACACCAGAGCGGACCCGCTCAGACAATACATTTTTTAAATACTGCCTGTTTGTTTACACTAGTATAATTACACTAATGAAAGCATGGTGATATGCCAATCTAATTTAGATTTATTTTCAGACGACACAGATGTCCTAAAGTGCAGCAGTTCTACGTAGCAGTTGGTCTGGGTTGATGCCAGTAAATTAGCAATGTGTGTATAACCATATCTATCTACCTTCTGCAGGAGCAAGACAGTTTGTTTACTCCATAGAGGAAGATGTAGGGGATGATGCAGGTGTAAGAGGATGCAATGTAGCTGGCCACCTCCACCACCAAGGAGGACGTGTGGATGTTGCTGGATATCCTCAGCAGGAGGTGGGTCACCCAGCACACCACAAACACAGTGGCCACAGCCACCACGCTCTTGGCTGCCCTCACCTGAGTGCCTGGGCTGGGCTTAGCTGGAGGCTGGGAGGGCCTCTGGAGAGCAGGTGAAGCTCTGGCTCTGCTGTCCCCACTCTCAACCTGGTAGAGGGGGGAACTGATTGAGCTGTGTACAACAGAGGGTCCTACATAGGGTAGGGCAGGACAGGAAGCACCAGGCAGGTTGGAGCGGATGTCTGTAAACAACGGTGAAACCCTCTGGTTACTGGAACTCTGAGGGCAATCTGGAGAAGCATTTGCAGCTCTTGGTAAATCTGTCTCTTTATCAGATGCCTTGATGCCTGTTTCATCATATTTCTCTGAGGTGTCCATCTTATCCCGCTTGTTAGGTAGAGCAATATCTGTCCCCTTGTGATGGTCAGAAGTCAGGCCCTTGATACGCATCTGGTTCCTTAGCAGAGTGATCACAATCTGGATGCTGGTGAACACTATACCAGCGACGGGGAGGGCGTTAGCGAGGGTCAGATACAACGTCTCATAGGTCTGCCTTGCCGTTTGGGAGGGAAATACTTCTATACAGTCCTTGTTGCTCTCATTCCCACTCTCCACCTGGACAAAGAAGAAGTGTGGAACACTGAAGACCCCAGCCACTGTCCAGCTGCCAGCCAGGAGATAGGCTACGAGACGGAGGCTATCCAACTGGACCGGAGCTCCTCCGCGTTTCAGAGAGCCCACCAGCTTCTGGTACCAGAACACACTAATAAACAAGGTGGAGAAGATACTGCTGGTCTCCGACAGGTCTGAGCAGAACCAGAACACACCGCAGTAGGCTTCCCCCAGGAAGCAGCAGCCAGCAAAGTCAGCCATGGTATCGGGGAGGTCCACCAGGTAGTTGGTGATGAGGTTGGAGATGGCCAGGTTGATGAAGAGGACCTCGTTGGTGTGGAGATGGGACTTAGGTCCGGGGAGAGAGCGTAGACCCAGCCAGTTGTTCCCCATGATCCCTAGCAGCACATCAGCCCTCGGATTAAGGCTTCGATCCAATCCGTTGTATCCATCACACCAGGAGCATCTATGTCTGAGCCTTATTTGATGGCTCGACATGTATAAGGGATGTTAATGTCATGCTTCAGGTCCAACCCCACAACAAATCCTTAGAGACCCAACCTCACATTTGCCATACATTTCTTGTCTTCAGTACTTGGAGAGCACCAGAGACTCATCGTATCCCAATACAGAAGAGAAAAACCTAACTGAACTTAGATCAGTGTGAAGGAGCAACCTGACCACCATTTACTGTACTAGGGGTGTGAATAGCCAATGTTTAGGTTGTTAGCAGTCAATTATGTACAAATGTGTAATATTCTATCTCTCACTATAGTGCAACATTATCCATTTCTAATGATACATTTCCATGGTAAAGCAAATTACATTTTTAATCAAGAGTATGGCTATGAAATGAAATAATTGTTGTATTTTTGTTTTGTTTAAAAAACATACACCACGACGTGGTCTAGCCTGCTATAGTGTAGTTTACGTCAGTCATCCTTTCCACCGCGAAAGCCCCACTTATGAAATCAGAGCCTTGATCCGTAAGCCCAGCGCGTTTAGCTGAGTTTGTCTGGACCAGTTGAGACGGTGGGATTTCCAAGACGGGAACAGTTCATTGGACCTTTTCACCATGCATTCGTTTGCATTTGATCCATCGAAAACCAGGACAGAGATCAGGACAGAGAAGAGTGGGAATACATCGTATCGTGGATCATTATTGTATCTTGGTGTAATCGTTTCGTTTGAATAAACTGCTGATGTTTGTGGAAAGTAGGCTACAGAATGCCCACCAGCAGCGATGAGATAATTAAAGCCAGCGCGTTTATTCCGGTGTCCACGGCTGCCGTCCTCCTCGTCGGGTCCACCACTTTATTCTTCGTCTTTACGTAAGTTGACCACTATGCCTCCTTCAGGAAAAGTAGTTTGATAACATTTACATTTTACATTTTAGTCATTAAGCAGACGCTCTTATCCAGAGCGACTTACAGTTAGTGAGTGCATACATTTTTTCATACTGGTCCCCCGTGGGAATCGAACCCACAACCCTGGCGTTGCAAGCGCCATGCTCTACCAAACAGACACTAAAGTAGGCCTACCCTTTCGAAAGTACAGTATACTATACCATACTTGAAGTGGTCTGGAGATTTGAAGATAATTCAATGGATAATGCAACGGGCATGCACGTTTGCTCCAAACTGTAGCTGTCTCCAGTGAAATATTGTGATAAAATAGGTTCTGTTGCTCACGCACTATGTAAACTAGTATAAACATTTTAAAGCGCGTTCACATTCGGAATTTAGAACATTCCCCATTGTTTTTGTAGCGTTCAATCTGACAGAAGTTAAATATGACAATTTTTTTGCAGTGAGGAAAAGCAATTTTGTGAAAAGACTAAAAACATGTTTCTGGTGTAATTTTATTTGCATATCGATATGCAATATTATTCATAAAACAGTTCAGCAATACTCTACCCAAAGCTGTCCATTAGTAGTTACCAGTAGTGAAAAAGTACCCAATTATCAGATAAAGGTAAAGATACCTTAATAGAAAATGACTCTTGATAAGTGTGTGAATTGGCCATTTTCTTGTACTGCTAACATAAAAAATGTAACGAGTACTTTTGGGTTTCAGGGAAAATGTATGGAGTAAAAAGTACATAATTTTTTTTAGGAATGTAGTGAAGTAAAAGTACGCTACATGACCAAAAGTATGTGGACACCTGCTCGTCGAACATCTCATTCCAAAATCATGGGTATTAATATGGAGTTGGTCCCCCCTTTGCTGCTATAACAGCCTCCACTCTTCTGGGAAGGTTTTCCACTAGATGTGGGAACATTGCTGCAGCCACAAGAGCATTAGTGAGGTCGTGCACTAATGTTGGGCGATTAGGCCTGGCTCGCAGTCGGCGTTCCAATTCATCCCAAAGATGTTCGATGGGGTTGAGGTCAGGGCTCTGTGCCGGCCAGTCAAGTTCTTCCACACCGATGTCGATAAACCATTTCTGTATGGACTTCGCTTTGTGGACGGGGGCATTGTCATGCTGAAACAGGAAAGGGCCTTCCCCAAACTGTTGCCACAAAGTTGGAAGCACAGAATCGTCTAGAATGCCATTGTATGCTGTATTATATGCTGTATCGTTAAGATTTCCCTTCACTGGAACTAAGGGGCAGCGTTCTGGCATCCACCAAACCCAGATTCATCCGTCGGACTGCCAAATGGTGAAGCGTGATTCATCACTCCAGAGAACGCGTTTCCACTGTTCCAGAGTCCAATGGCGGCAAGCTTTACACCACTTCAGCCGACGCTTGTCATTGCCCATGGTGATCTAAGCTTGTGTGCGGCTGCTCAGCCATGGAAACCCATTTCATGAAGCTCCTGACGAACAGTTATTGTGCTGACGTTGCTTCCAGAGGCAGTTTGGAACTCGGTAGTGAGTGTTGCAACCGAGGACAGGCGATTTTTAAGCGCTTCAGCGTTCTGCGGTCCCGTTCTGTGAGCTTGTGTAGCCTACCATTTCACGGCTGAGCCGTTGTTGCTCCTAGACGTTTTCACTTCACAATAACAGCACTTACAGTTGACCGGGGCAGCTCTAGCAGGGCAGAAATTTGACGAACTGACTTGTTGGAAAGGTGGCATCTTATGGCGGTGCTACGTTGAAAGTCACTGAGCTCTTCAGTAAGGCCATTCTACTGCCAATGGCTATGGAGATTGCATGGCTGTGTGCTTGATTTGATACACCTGTCAGCAACGGGTGTGGCTGAAACAGCCGAATCCACTCATTTGAAGGGGTGTCCACATACTTTTGTTTATATAGTGTATAAGTTGTCCAAAATATAAATTGTAAAGTACAAGGACCCAAAAAAACCTACATAAGTAGTACTTTAAAGTATTTTTACTTAAGTATTTTACCCCACTGATAGTTACATTTCATTGCCTAATATCATGTTGATCCTCTTAATCTGAGCTACTGTAGGCTATTTGAACTTGGTATGGGGACTGTGTTAAGAGGCTATTAAACCGTTAGGCCTATGTCTCAGGCCATTTTTTACTTAGGCTAAACTCAAATGTTCAGATGATGATATGGTTCAGTGGTTGATATAATAACTGGGTCCTGATCCAGAAACATCATTATATTATTATTATATAATTTCTGACTCAAAATATCATGACCCCAAACACACCTCTCAGAGCTGTAGCCTACACCAGCATGCCCCAAGTGATGTCACAATTAATTCCTAAATCCCTTTATCTTCTTCCAGAGGGCGATGATGCTGAGAGCTTAGAGTCAGGTATATTTCCTAGAAGTCAGACCTGGTCAGTTTAGAGCAGAACAGGTTCCCGAATGAATCCCTTGTATTCTCAAAACTACCTTTTAGTAGTGTGAGGATCACCGCCAACATTATCCCCTAGATTGCTAGTAGAGCCTGGGTGAGTAGACCTACTACCATAACAGCTGTTAACATTTACATTTACATAATTTAGCAGACTAAGTCCACTGACCCCTGACCCTTGTAGCCAGATATGTCCCCGTTTCCGCCTCTGTTGTTTTCCAAGCAACGTTTCAATTGGATCCTCTAGCACAGTGGTATTCAAACTTTTTCAGCGGGGACACCATTTTTTTCACAATCATTTCTGGGGAACCTACTTCACCACAAATCTAATGACACAAGCTTAAAATCAGTACATTTAGATTTTCATCTCTCTTATCAAAATTAAGAGAACCAATAAATACATTAATTCAATAAAAATGTATTTTTCAACTGCTCTTTCTCAAAAACATTTGTTTATTGTCCCATAAAATAATCTGTACTCTTAATGTTTGGTTCCCCCCCAAAAAATATAATTAACCCCAACTTTGAATACCAGTGCTCTAGCATATGTGAAGTTCCGGATTAGGATCCCGATTTTCTGATCAATGCCATTTGATTCCCCCATCCGTGGAACTGGTGGTGAAACTAAGGGTCCAGAATCTTGGAATCTCGCAAGAGGAGTAGAGACCGTTGTCTTCTGGTCAAATCAAATCATATCTTATTTGTCACATGCTTCGTAAACAACAGGTGTAGACTAACAGTGAAATGCTTATTACGGTTCCTTTTCCAACAATGCAGAGTTGAAGATAAAGATAAAAGATAAAATACAAAATAGAAATAGTGACAAGAGGAATAAATACACAGTGAAAAACGAATAACAATAACGAGTAAAAATAACATGGTTAAATACAGGGAGTACCAGTACCGAGGTGATGTGTAGGGGTACAAGGTAATTGAGGTAGCTACACTCTTAGAAAAAAAGGTTTCAAAAGGGTTCTTCGCTTGTCCCCATAGGAGAATGCTTTTTGGTTCCAAGTACAACCCTTTTTGGTTCCATGTAGAACCCTTTTGGGTTCCATGTGGATCCCTCTGTGAAAAGGGTTCTACCTGGAACCCAAAGGGTTCTACCTGGAACCAAAAAGGGTTATTCAAAGGGTTATCCTATGGGGACAGCCAAAGAACCCTTTTAGGTTCTAGAGAGCTCCTTTTTTTCTAAGAGTGTATGTACGGATAGGTATGGGTAAAGTGACTAGGCAACAGGATATATAATAGATAGCAGCAGCATAAATGGTGAGTGTGAAAGTGTGTGTGTGTGTGTGCTTGTGTGTGTGTGTGAGTGAGTGAGTGTTTGGCATTAGTATGCATGTGTGTGCATGTAATGTGTGTGTGGGCGTATGCAGTGTGTGTGTGTGTTGGGGTGTCAGTGTAAGTACTGTATGTGTGAGTGTGTGGGTAGAGTCCAGTGTGTGTGCATAGAGTCAGTGCAAGAGAGTTAGTGCAAAAAAGGGTTGATGCAGGTAGTCCGGGTAGCCATTTGATTTGTATTTACGTTTACATTTTTGCTATTTAGCAGTCTTGTTTAGCAGTCTTATGGCTTTGGGGTAGAAGCTGTTCAGGGTCCTGTTGGTTCCAGACTTG